GGCTTTGGGAGCCTTGGCATTACGATGAATCCCTTGTTTTGAATTGTCATGATGGCTGTTGACTAGTAGTGGCAGAGGTAACGACATCAGCACGAGCATTGCCAGTACCACTGCTATTGCCAGTGCTGTTAAAGTGACTGACTCGTGTTAGCAGCCGTATCAGCAGCACCAGTAGGAGTAGTAGTCGTCGTAGCCGCAGTAGTAGAAGTAGTAGTAGTAGTAGTAGTAGTAGTAGTAGTAAGTAGTAGTAAGTAGTAGTAAGTAGTAGTAAGTAGCAGTAAGTAGCAGTAAGGAGTAGGAGTAGGAGTAGTAGTAGTAGTAGTAGTAGCAGCAGCAGCAGCAGCAGTGGTGGACGTAGTTCGGTCTCCAGTATGGTGCTGCGACGACAGTGACTAGCACCACCACTTTGACCGCGACGACGACGACAACTGTCACTACAACGGCTATTAGTGGTAGTACGACTACTGCGACTTCGAAGACAACGACTACTACTCCTCCTGCTGCTGCTGCTCTGCTGCTATACTTGTTCTTATTGTTCTTACAACAACTACTACTAGTACTAGTACTACTAGTACCAGTACTAGTACTAGTACTAGTACTCTATGACCAACACCACCACTGCCCCCACCACCGCTTGTCACGACAACGAGCACAAGTTGGTTTCTCCTAGCTGCAGTGCCTGTGAGTGTCTTCTGGAAGCTTACTCTTTTTTTTCATGTAAACATATCAAAGAAAGACAGTGGTCTGGTGCCCTGTGGTTTGTGTGACTATGGCCTTGGGGCTGAGGATCTGTTGACGTAGGCTTCAGGGTTTCTTTTTGCGTTTGGCCCAGATTTGCAAGTATACCGACGAGATCTTCGTGTCTTGCGTGGACCTGGACATTGTCGGTGGTGTGGCGACGACGACGCAGCCTGCAGGCACGACTACCACCACTACGGCGTCACGAGGCTGCATGTGGTGGCGTGTGTCTCGGGCACAAAGCTCGTCTGGTACCCCTAAACCCTAAACCCCAAACCATAACAACCCAAAACCCTCAACTTGAAAGCCTGCTTCAGAGCCCACAAAAAGCCTCAAGACAGTTCGAGGAGCAGCGAATGCATCTGGACCGAGCCTGCTGGGCGGACGGTGGAGCGTGCCTCCCGAGAGGATCCGCCCCGAGGGCTTCGAGGGGTTTGGAGACAGCAGAAAAACCCTAAACCCCTAAGCCCTAAACCCTAAGCCCATTTATAGGGATCGAGAAGTGTACCAAGTTAGAAAATCCATTTATAGGTTATTTTGTTTTTTCTCTGTGGTTTTGTGTTATTTTTTTGGGTTGGGCGGTGGCCTTTCCGAGCCCCGGGCCGGGTCTTATTGTCCTCCCTCCGCCCATCGGAGAGCGGCAAACGAAGCTGAAGTTCTCTGTGCGGGGCCCTAGAAAGGTTTGGGGTTTTGGGGTTTAGGGGTTTAGGGGTTTAGGGGAAGCCCCCCATAACGGAGTGTCAAACTGTGTTGAATCCGGAGCTTCTTAGAGAAGCGCAGGCCGAACTCCAAGACATCCAGATTCGAAGGCCCTTGGGGGGGCCCTCCTGAAGCCCTTAACGGAAGGAGAAGGACGGCCGAATCTGCTGGGACTTTACCGTGCCTAGCGGGACCAAGGCCCTTTCGTTGGCCCAGGGTTTGGAGTCTACAGGGCTCCACGATTCATGATGAAGTGCTTGGTCCTTTCTTGTGGTCTTGGATCAAGTTGGCATTTCGAGTTGGACTTTTTGGACTTTGGGGCGTCTGTCGTCGGGTCTGAGGATCGTGGGAGGCGCCTTTCGGACGGCAGAGTTCGTGTCTTCGTCGGCTTTGAGAGTCTTGCTATGTGCACTGTAGTTGGGCTTGTCAGGGTTTGGATTGCTACAGCAGGTTTCCGGTGTTCCGCGGGCGTGAATTCTGGCTGCCGCACAGGTGTATTACCAGTCCAAGACGGACATCTACCATATGTGGAATTCGAATGCCTGCTGCTTGAGTGCCGCAGAAAGTTTCGGGTCGGACGTGACGGGGAACCCCAACCTTGTCGTGTTCACTCCGACGGTTGGTACCTTTGGTTTCTGCGAGTGCACTGCATGGGATCCCAGCAATCCCGGCACCTGTGCTGGTGCAGCTACATCCGACAACATGATTTGCCCGGTTCTTGGGGCCTCGAAAGAAATGTGTTCAGAGGCCGCATCATGGGATGGCCTGCCGGTTGGTTGCACGCCTGTCTTTTCAACCACGCCCTCCGCGACAGCGACCACAACCATGGCCGTATCCACCACCTCGCCTACAGATGGCTGCTGCTATTGGGATGCCAATAAGGGCTGTGAGGGGAGTGGATACTGCTGGGAGTCCAAGGCCAATTGCGAAGGCAGCTGCAACGGCAATTGGAAGGCAAACACGCCTTCGACCATGGCTCCGACAACAGTGCCCCCGACGACAACAGTCGCACCAACGCCTGCACCAGTGTACACCACAACAACGACCGTCAGCACTACGACAACTCCCATGCCGACCACCACGACCACCACGACCACCACCACGTCCATGCCCTCAACAACTCCTGCCTCGTCGGATAGCTTTGAGCCTGTGGATGGAGGCGAGGGCCGTGCCTGCCGTGGAGCTCATGCCGGAGACAATGATGCCTCCTACTTCACAACTGTGAGTACCTCGGCATCTTCAGCCTGCTCTCCCAAACCTACTCTTAGATCCCGACAAAGGTGGCCGGCCCTGTGCCTACTGGTAGGGCTTAGGTGAGGCTTGAGATTTTGAGACCCCTTCGTCAGGTGGAGGTGTGGACTCTCTGGATGAATGCAAGGCGCACTGCCTTGCGACCGCCGGCTGTCACGGAATTGAGAACATCGGAAGGAGGTGCGAGATCTGGACGCACCCAGTCGGAGCCGCGGCTTAAACTAAGACTCCGTGTCAAAGGGCTTGGTACCAGGGCCCTTAATCGCCTTAATCTCTGCATCGATTGAATCATTTTCCGATTTTGGCCACGGCTCTACCTCGCCATCTTGCTCTGCAGTCAGGATCTTTTCAGCCTCATCTATCTCACAGACTGGTTTGGGTGAATGCTGAAGGGCTATCGGAAAGCCACCCACAGCCAGGAGCGAGCATCAGCTTGGACGGCTACGTCTGCCTCCGCGTCGTGGGAGGCACGTCTTCGAAGATGAAGCTGATTGAGGTGTGTGTAAGCCAGTGTAAGCGTCTCTCAACTTCAGCGGTCGGGTGCTTGCCGGCTAAACTTGGTGTCGGTTTCAGGCTCCAGCCTGTTGGCTTGTGCTGCTGCCACTCCTGCTAACGACCGACTTTGTAATCCGCCCCATAACCACCTGCACCACTGAGAGCGATGACGACGGCTACGACGACGACA